TGGCCAAAAAATTGAGAGAACAACATAGAGACTAGCTCGTGCTAGGGAAGAAGCTGATAGCGGTGTTTACAAGCCCAACAGAGAGAAGGATGAATTGACATATGCCCTAGAGAATCCCGAACACGGTGGTCGAACAAGAGGCTATGGGATGGTTCCGTGGCTACAAGCATTCCCAGTAGATAAGGATACCTACAGAAGCCGTCAGAGAAAGAAGGATGAGGAGGCAGACCGAATCCATGTATTGGAGCAATTCGTTAATGAGTCACGACAAGCATTGCTTGAATCACGTGAACGAGAAAATTCTCTTGAGGCAAGAATGCAGAAGGAGATCAAGAGGCAACTGCAGCTAGCAATGAGTCAAATGCAATCGCAATCAACGCCGGGAGTCACCATTAGCCCCGTTGGTCAGATGAAAAGCAGTTGTGCTTCCACGGAGCTGCCATTTATTCAAGATGACGCTGGGTTGCGCTTCCCTGTTGATGACATTACTGAGCCTCTAACAACATGTGAGCTGCACATTCCAGATGGTAATAATGCATCAATCATGGTGGTTGTCGGAGTTGTATCTCCAATAGACCGAACAAAGACACCAAGAATCCATGGGTCAGTTATTCAACCTGGATATGCTAGCATCTCGGTCGATAGAGTGCTCAAAGGTTACAGCAATGTTCCTCTTGACATTGAAGGCGGTGATGGGGAGAAGACACTAGGAGAAGCAGAGAAGACATTTATTCAATGGCGCAAACGCTTCATCATCATTCCTGGGACACCACCGCTTCCCCTACCTCACCCTAGGTACGAATGAAAGTGAATGAAATATTATTTTCCATTAATTTTATATTAGCTTCAAAAATAATTGACTCATAACTTATTTTTGTAGCAGGGTCTCCCCCCAGCCTAGCCCAATCATTCATTCCCCATCTCATCACAGCGTCGCGGGGGGCGAGATGACTTCATCCCCACGGCGATCTCCAAGTCCTACACCGGCCCCATTGCCTCCACAACGATCTTCAACTCCTACACCGGCCCCACCGCCTCCACAACGATCTCCAACGCCTCCACGTCGGTCTCCAACACCGGCCTCATCGCCTCCACGCCGGTCTCCAACACCGCCCCCACCCCCTCCACAGTGTTGCACTACAGAGACGTCTAAGGTCCCGACGGTAAAGAAGACCCCGAAAAAAAGAGTTATTTCTCAAGAAATACTTCCTGAAAAGACTGATGAGCGAATAGCAGCTGAAGAAGACAAAAAAGTGAAAGATTTTTTTATAGATATAAAAAAGCAGAGACAAGCGAAGCTTAAGGAGAAGCCGTACTTTTACATACCACGAGATCTGCTGAGGCAGAAGGTCGAAGATCACAAGAAAAAGATGCTTGAACTTCGTAAGCCTCCACCACTATCAGACTATGACCGCTCCCTTGTGAAGTCACATGATGCAGATAAGAAAAGGAAAAGAGCATCAGGGAAGGATGTCCCACAGCTCGGACAACAGAAGCAACCAATGTAAAATCTTGTTGTTACTAATGAATATGGTTCCAACATAGAAGTCTATCGACCAGACAACTCTGGAGAAGTGTCGGTTCAAGACCTTAATGCTTATTTTAAAGATACTGGTTTAACCTTGGATCAATTGATGGGCAAAGCTCCAATCCAGAACCTAGAAGTTGATACCTGGAAGACTTATAAATTTGGCAAAAGTCTGTACAATCCTACGACTCTGAATGAATTGGGTACGCAAATGTACTTGCTCAACAAGTGGTATATGCAGGCATGTGGCAGGGGTGAGGAGTGGATCTTTGTCAGATTTAGAGACCATCATTACTTCCATGGCGATGACATCTTACATATTAGTTTCGAAGAATTGCATCAACTATACCACATGGACGCTCTGGACAAATCAATCATTAGCTCATTTTGTTTGTAAGTGATTCTTACTTTTATTTAATAAACTCATTTCCATGCGTACGTGTATATAATTATCTTCATATGTAACTTATATTTATATACAGATTCCAGATGTCAGAGCTCCAAAGAATACAAGACAGCAGTGTTGGCTTCATTGATCCTTATATCGTATTCAAAACCGATATTATTGCGAAGGAGCATTGGGTATCTGAAGCACAGAAGAATATCATGAGGTTCTTCATGAAGCAGCACGACAAGACAACAATACTTTTCCCGTACAGCTTTGAGTAAGTGCTAATAATAATGTAATCTACATATTTTATGTAATATCAATACAACTTATATGTATATACGTGTGTGTATAAACCAATGTAGGTTTCACTGGATACTCATTGTCGTTGAGTTAAACTCAAGTCGGTTAGTAATCTTGGACTCGTTGAGAAAAGAGCGGGCACTATACCAAGATATGATAGACTTTATTCAGGGGTAATTTCGATCTCTCGCGCACAACTATTATTGAATAGACTTTGCCATAATTTATTAACGATCGTACATTATTGGTCGCACAGAATTTGGAAAGAGTTTATTCGGCAACACCGCAAGGATTGCAAGGTACCACTTAATATAGTTGAAATACCAGTAAGTTGTACTATATATACTTCCCCACGTGTTTAATGACTATATCGTACTTTAATTTACGTGTGAGATGATGAGAATAATCTTCTTCTCGTACAGTGGTGTTTGCGGCAGCAACCAGATAATAACTTATGTGGATACTATGTTTGTGAATTTATCACTGCGCACATAAGAAGAACTTCTAAAGATGTCCTAAGAGTACGTATATATCAATTTTTTATTTATTTTTAAATGAATATATATATGTATGTATTAATACTTTTCCTTTTATTTCAAATACAAGACTGAATGGTTGAAACAAAGGGTCATGCAAAAAGACCATCTGAAAGCAGTTCAAGAGTCAATAGCAGGATTTCTTCTAGAAAAAATGCTAAATCCCAACGACGAGTTCTACTTTGATCCTAAGGAATAAATGATGTAAATTAAATGTTTATTGATATCGTTATTTTCGAGAACAAGATTATGAAAGTGTTGTATATATACATATATATATCTATAATATATATAGTTTCATACTTTATTCGAATATAATAATGCTCGAGATGAGAATTAGATGTAATTATATGCGTGCGTGTATTTATATTAGCAGCGTAGAATACGTACATAAAAACATATTATATATTAAACAAATATGTGTAACTGAACTGAAAATAAATTAAACAAAAAAAAGGAACCTTTAGTCCCGGTTGGGGTTACCAACCGGGACTAAAGGGTGCGGCCACGTTTGCTCGGCTGGAGGGCCTTCCGGGACTAAAGGTCCCTCTTTAGTCCCGGCTCGATGACCCGGGATTAAATGCTCCACCTTTAGTCCCGGGATCGTTGTCCCGGCGCGGTAACCGAGATTAAAGGCCGTTAGCGCCTGGGACAACAAGGCCATCCTGTAGCAGTGGCTGCAGCAGGTACACGGCGTCCTCGAGCATGCCCACGCAGTCCTCCGCCGCCTCGGCCGCCGCGGGAGGCACAAGCAGGTGGTGGCTGCTCGCGCCCGCCGCCGCCATCGCCTTCATCGCGGCAGCCGCCTTCCGCGCGCGGTCCAGCGTGACCGTCAGCGCGGCCAGCCACAGGCGCACCGGGCTGGCCCCGACCTCAGCTGCGTATGGGGCCAGTGTCGCGTTGCACAGCGCCGGGTAGTCCGTCCCCGCGCACCACGACGTGATGAAGCCGCCGGCGGCGGCGGCGGCTGTGGTGGTGCTCGGTGATGGCCGCGCCGTGACGACGGCGCCGCACCACGACCAGTACGAGAGCGCGAGAAGAAATAACAGCAAGGCGCTGCTGCGTGCCATGGCGCACGGGACGGGATGGGAGCACGTAAAACTACGACGACTTCGACGTGTGTTTCTCTTACTGCTGCCTCGATCTTCTGACTCTTCGGTGGTGTGGAGCCAGCTAGCATCGAATTATATAGGGCCAGCGGCAGGAGAAATGGAGGATAAGGGCGCGGCCAGCACACGTATGGCGGCTGGCTCAACCGGCACGTCGTCTCTGGCCAGGGAGGCCAGGATACGTAACGCGACGCCGGCTGGCCTCTCCAGCCCTTTTCTGCGTGGATCGCATAGAGATCGAGGGTGCTCTGCTGCTCGCCTTTGATTCGCCGATCGAGGCCGCAGCATGCACGTACGAAACCACTGTGAGCTGGCGGAGATTTTGCGTGGCGTCTAGTCGTCAAGCGATCGCGCGCGAGACGTACGGCGACGCCGACGCGCGGGGTCCCGGCCCGGGAATACGGCTGGGGTGGCTGCTAATCCGCTACGAGAATACGGGATCACTGAAATTCATGATGGTGCTGCGCGCGTACGTGCCAAGGTTGGTGGGGGCATCGTGAGGTGATGACGTGAGGTTCCTTGCAGCTTCAGCCTCAGGAGTCAGGAGTCAGGGCACGGGGGGACCGAATCAATGGCGCTGGGCGTTTCAGCTTCAGATCGCCATCGGCCCGGGGGAAAAGGCAGGCCCGCGAGCCCACGTGCCGCACGGGCTATCTAATAAGCCATTGATTTCCTTTTCCCTCTCTCTCTACAGCATGAATCTTGATTGAGCTGTATCTTTAGCGTCTGTGGGGCGAAACCGGTAGCTAACGGCAAAACTGAACCGCAGTATAGTACTGCACTGCTCCTAGTTGACATGGAGAACGGCCACGGGAGAAGCTAGCAGATATTTTCTTTTCATTTTGTGAATACTAGCAGATATTTTATTGGTCCTCTTATTTAAATGCGTTGGCAGGCATGCGATACTTCCATGGAAGACGAGTACAAACATTTTCAGGGGCCGTTTGGAACCAAGAAACGGTTGCGATTCTCACCCAAAGCTAGAGAAAATCGTTGCTGGATAAACATTATCAGTCGCCAATTCGCGAACAAATTTGAACTGTTTATGAATGACACCTTCCTTGTTGTATTCAAATTCAAACGCGCGAAGGCGTACATAGCATGCTGACGTCAGAATCGTGCGTGTCTGTCTGCTGCTACCGCTCGTCGAACAGCGGCGGCAGCCGGTGCACGGCCGGCGCGCCGGCGTCACCGTCATGCGTGGCGCCGCCACGGCAGCGTGGCTTCCACCCTGGCCACTGGGAGACGCCCCGCCCCACCGACACGCGCGGGCCGCAGCGAGCCTCATGGTCGAGGCCCCGCCTCGCGTCAGGGCTGAGAGCGGAAGTGTGGCGGCGAGGCCTCAACGCCTGCCTCCCCGGTGGAAGTGGCACCCCAATGCCGTCTGCGACGTCGTCTTCTGTCCATTTCAGTGTCGCCGCCACGCCTGTCGGCGCCTCCGCTGGTGATTCCACAGGCCAGCTGTCGCCGCCGCCGACGGCTGCGCCTAGCGATTCCGGGTCGGCTGACACCGGCGAGAGCAGGAGAGCCACGGCGCACAATGAGAGGACGACGGGAAGCATCATACGCGTGCGTGAGGCATGCATGGTGTTGTCTTGCAAATCTTTTCTTTGCTGTGGAGGATCAAGGTGAGACAGAGGGTACTTATAGGAGAGCTCCTTATAGGATTTTTTTTCCTTTGTAACTTGCAAACGTTAATGGAGGAAGTTTTTTAATCCAAGTATGTTGTAGATCTAGTAACACACACTTAATGAATTGCGTTCAAACACACACACACACACACACACACACACACACTTAATGAGAAACGTTGCCTGAAGAATACCGTTTCTTTAAAGTTCAGATGTTAACTGAGAGAGATTTCAGCAGCTGACGGCCTGACGGGTACATTTGTGACATCTATACAGACTATACTTGAGAGAACTCGACCCACTAGGAAGGGGTGGTATCTTCGTCTTAACGAAAAACGGGCTATATTCTCCGGTCGCGAAAAAAAAACAGGAAGCGGTGGTAGCAATGCCCATGCTTCTCAGAGAGAGCCAGATCACTGTCAGGATACAGAGGAAGGGTAAGGCCCAGGTCACTATTGGGCGTCCGACAACAGGCATCGGAGAGCTAAAGGAGGAGTAGTAGGTGGCTAACGGGTGGACCCGTTGTAATTCTGTTAGCGCTTAATGTCGGTTAGTTGGCCGTGGGCCCTTCTGTTGCTTAGCTGGCATTTGCCGTTGCTGTGGCCGCGGGCAGGATATAAGCCGAAGGGGGTGTATTGTTTCAGACTATGAAATGAATACTGAAACTCTGAACCCTGTTTCTATCTCTGATCTAACTCTTGTTCTTGCTATCTCCCTGAACTCCTCTCTGCTCCTCTGAATCTGTCCGATCTAATTAGACCGTGACAATCACCTCCAAAAACAATGGATTCTAGGCAATAAAGCATACTTCTACTATTCTATCATCCCCACGTTCAGTGTTTCATAAAACAAGCAGCTCCAGGTCTCCAACGCCCCAGTGTTGGAACCAGGGCACTGCTGACTGCCAACGTTTCGATCAGGGCTCTCCACTTCTCCTCTAGCTCCATCGAAATCCCTTCTCACCTTCCAGCTGGCCAGAGAAGAGGTCGTCTCCGAGCATCTGCATTTCTGGCCAGTACAGAAAGATGTGAATTAAACCCAAATACCCTCTTGGTTCTGCTGAGCGCATATTATTAGCTAAAGACAACTCCAGGCCTCATTCGAGAAAAAGACAGCTCCAGGCCTCCTGTCAGATGCCTGGTCTCACCATATGTACTCTACTTGACACGAAGTGGAGAAGGGTGAAAGTTTGGATTGGATCGGCTGGTCCCAAGTTTTTTTGGTTTTCCATATAAATCGCCGTGTCAATTGTTTATGGGATTGCTATGACTCCACTGTTGATGTGTTGTCTGAATTCTCCTCGTTGCTCATCACAGATGAGGGACTAACTGGTGCATTGTTGCTGCCCTTTTATTGCAATCGTATATGTGTTTCCCCATATAGTACGCTTATTGTATATTGGTATGAATGAATGCATTTTTTATCTATAAGGATGACTTAACAGTGTTATATCCACTTCATATATATCTTTATATCATATATGCTCATATTGATTCATCAGCACCGTATATGTGAGTTTATTTTCAGGGGCAAAGCCCTGTCCAAGTTGACTCATATTCAAACTGGGTTATTTCAGACGTATATATGCTACAAAACGTATGAAAGTATATATCCTTGTACTCATTTTCTGAATTTAGAATCAAAGGCCATGCCAGCAGCATACGAGTTTACCAGAAGGGCATACGAGTTTACCAGCTGCCAGCTGGAAATACATATTTAATAATAAACTGACCAGAAGCCGTCATAAATTCGCGACTGGGTACATACCAGAAACATACTACTGAAGAAGACTCAGCATCAGTAATGAGTCTTCAAATGTTGCTGGTATGTTGCTGATGTATTTCCAGTAATATATATAAGTTTTCTTTAACAATATCAGTAACATAGTCAGTAACGATTTTTCACATGAAACTGGCTATGTAATGTCTTTTCTGTAATATATATCTTTCAGTAATATATATGTGATGTATGCTGGAGGATATATATAAGTTTTAGGAAGTAAGCTGCACATGTGCTTGATAACTTGACAAATGCAGATACAAGTTGTGTGGTCACCAAACATCAGTCAAGTCAGGATGCATACGTTCGAATAGCATCATTCATGATTGTATAGCAAACGGCAGATTTTCACAGCAGGAAAAAGGGTGGATTCATCTATCAGTTCCACAAGCATATATAGGCATGCAGCCCGAGCCCGTCAGCCCGGCACGAGGCCCGGTTAAAAGGTCTTAATGGCTAGAGGGGGATGAATAGCCTATAAAAATTTCTACAACAACACTTAACAAAATGGTTAGACAATTATAAGGCGAAGCAAATGTTACGCTAGCCTACTAAAATGCAAGCCACCTAACACAATTCTAGTCTCTATGATCTCTAGGCACACACCGGCTATGTCACTACACTAAGTTAGTGAGCTCTCAATGACTAACTAAAGAGACTCACTAACCACTAGATACGACACAAGCTAGTTGTGGGGGGTACGACCCTGGATACCCACGGCAGACCACAAGGGCTGCGCTCCCAGGGGTGGCCCAGCCCACAAGACGAAGCCTTGCGGGGCACGACACTGCTCGGCGCCTCCCGCAAGGCACCGGGAAGATATCATGAAGATACTACGAGATCTGTTAGAATACGTATGATCCCATGATTCCTGTAATCTGTTATTACTTTCTGGTTATCTTCTAGATCTAACCGACTTGTAACCCTGCCCCCCAGACTATATAAGGCGGGCCGGGACCCCCTTCAAACTCACACAATATCATACGATAGCCAATACAATCCAACAGACCACATGTGGCAGAACCGTCTGAAATAACACGCTTACGGAGGTGCTCGTCTTCCACCCGACACTAAGCACCCCGAAAGCAAGCTACAGCGGGCGGTATCCGTCGGACACACCCCAGGGGAGAACCCGAAAGATCTACATTTTTTCCAAGGATCCAATAATGAGAACGAGCTACAACACTTATCCATTTCATACATCAGAGTTTCTTAAAAATTATATTATTACATTACCAAATGTCAGAGTGCGGAATGATAAACATCGAAATTTAAAATAAACATCTAGCGATAAGAACGAGGATCCGTCTGAGCCCACCAGAAGAATCCTCCACACAAAGGTACTTCTCATGCACTACCTGCAATATGGGTAAATAAACCCTGAGTACACAATATACTAGCAAGACTTATCCGACTAGTGGGAATAATTTTCCGACTTCAAGAAATATGAGAAGCTTTTATGTTTTACTGGTTTTCTTTTAGCAGAAAGCAATACTAATAGTGAGTCCTTATTTATGTTAGTATCATCAGCCGTATTAAGTTATTATCTATCCAGTCTATATAAGCACATATTCTAGTTTCAAGCAAGAATTGAGCAATCAGTTCCATTTCATCACCTTTCATCTTTCAGTTCTTACTACGGTGCTAGACACGAAACAAGCCGTACCGGGTCGTCCGGTGATTCGCGAATCAATGCCCCCAGCTGGGTACTCCGAAAACACACGCCCCACTTGCACCCCGAACACAAGCAGGACTAACCCATCACCCTCTTGTCCTGGGTGTCCAGGTCCCCGTCCAAACTTGGACTCCAAGCCCCCACTCCTTAGTCCCGGACTCAGTGCGGTGCAAGGACCTCCACCATCCCCGCCTCCAATCAGTCGGTCCAGAAAGAGCCGGATCCATGACAAGAGAGCAACGAGTCTTTCCTGCGCCCATACCCAAGTATGTGCTCGAGATAATAAATCTGTGACTTGCCCACGATGCCATATGCAACGACCGGTCCTTAATTTACACAGACAGGAAAAAAGTGTAACCGAGCTATGCCCTATTGGTCGTAGGACACAACCCTTTACACCCACCAGTACCCAAACCATATCTCTGCCCGGTCACCATTTTTCTTTACACCATTTTATCATGAGTGAACATATTTATCACCTATTTGCGAGTAACGACAGGTTACTCACGCTACCGAATTCCTGAGCATAGCAACTACTCGATGTACACTAGTAGGACTCATTGGTAGATATATTTATGCATGTAGTTTTCATAAAATGCCTGTAACTTAAATGCACATCATATATATACATTCAGTGATAATAAAATAGGGGTTATGCACCGGGGCTTGCCTTGGGCAGGCGACGGGTCAGCATGGTCAGCACCAAAAGGCTCCGGGGCTCCCTCCTGCACGAGGATCTCCTCCCCGTACTCCTCAATGACTTCCTCGTACTCCTGTTCATCGACGGGCATGAACTCTACCAACTCGTGATCTACATGCATGAAATAATGATGCAATACTTAGTAATATAGCAACAACAACTCTTAAAATAAAAGTACCTTTGTCAAACTACTAAGTGAGTTCTACCAACTAAAGTACTAAGCTACCTACTGTTACCACTAACAAGTATGAAGCATGACATACCTTATCATAGCAACTAACGATATTCTTACCCCTAATACTGATTTACTCTATATATGATAAAACAAGGATACTAGCTACTCTATTTATCAACCTACTCTAGGGCTACAAAATTTATAGCAAGTACAGAATAATCTAGTGAGCCTACTGTAAAATTTTTATAACCATAGCTATCACCAATTTACCACAAAAATTCCTACAAATATTAATCGACATAATACTAAGCTTCTCTAGTTTGAATTTATGAACCCATCACCATCATAGCTAACTGTAATCTAACTATACTAACAGATAGATGGCATTTTTGTAAACCTAACAAACTTGGTTTCACTATTTTTGGACATCTACAAGATTTACTACAATTTATCAAAGTTTAGCTAGAAACTATATTGAATAAACATGTGTAATTCGCTGGAAAATTGGAAAACAAATTCACAGCGCGGCCCGCGAGCGACGGCTCGGCCCACCACAGTGACCCGCGCACACACACCAGCGTGGCCCATTCCCGCGGCCGCGGCCCAACACGGGGAGACTCACGCGC